CCCCCTATAATGAGCGCTGTGGGCAGAGCTGTGAGAACTTTTACGCACGTCCGATAATGGAAGTAGYTGAGGCGCTCCTGATTGCTCCAAGCCCTCACCTGGATCACTCTCATGTTGAGGCCCGTCTCGCGCGACAGCTGCTCGCGGATGTGCCTCGTGGGCTTCGGCGTGGCCGCGAACGCCGCCTTGAGCGTCTCGAGCTGCTTGGCTTTGATGGTGGTGCGCGGCCCGCGGCGCTTGCCCACGGCGCCCTGCTCGTCGTTGTCCGGCTCCTCGTTGCCGCACGCGTCCTTGTCGGACAGCGGGCCCCCGCCGCCCTCCTCCGAGTCCTTGCCGTCGTCCTGCGGGTCCTGGGAGTCCGGGGACAAGCTCGGGTCGCTGCACGTCGTCACTGCACGTGAGAGAAAGCAGCTGAAGACGCGGCCTGTTGCTGCGACTAAACCGGGACTTAATAACGGAGGAAAGAGGTTTCACCTGACAGGAGGACGGTGTCCTTCCCGTTGTTGCTCTGGTAGTCCTCCTTACAGACGAACTTGGACTCGTCCAGGATGTAGAGCTCCTCTCCGGTGGACAGCTGCTTGTTGCACATGACGCACGTGAAACAGTTCAGGTGAAACACTTTGCTCTTGGCTCTGCGGACCAGATCACTTGGTAAAATCCCCTGCGAGCAGCCTCCACACTTAGTCCCAAATCTCCTGTTTAAAAAGGCAAAACAATCATTTTAAATAAGTGTTTCAGGATGTCATCAAACTATTCTATTTCTGGAACATTTTATTTAATTTCGCACAAATTTTCAGAGCTCAATGTGATGTTAATATGTCCAAAACAAACATGTTTATGCTATTATATTGATCATTTAATCAGTTTGATTTTTGCTGGGAGTCAAAGCTTCAGCTCAACATGAAGCCATGTTTTTATATAAAGGCACCCCTTTTTCAAACCAAATGCTGCATGTTGAGTGCAGTAAATCACTTTATGTGCAAAAACCACGGGGTATTCAACATTTTTGACATTTTCCATTCATTTATTTATTTTTCATATTATATCAATTTCCTGTATTGTCTTGTGTCTTCTGCCAACTTGTTGGTAATTATTGTTTTTAATTATTATTATGGGGTGAAGATCACTCTGGCGTAAATCCTTATCCAACATGTTTCTTAGTTTTACTGAAAATATCAGCCGGAACAGGAACATAATTCTATTTTCATGTTTAATTTGAGCACTAAATAGTTTACCTAAAGAAGTCGTTCTTGCAGTACAGCCTCCCGTCTCGCGAGAAGCACTTRTCGCTCAGGCTGCATTTGCAGTCGCAGCACTGGACGCACTTGGCGTGCCACGGCCGGTCCAAAACTTTCAGCAGGAACCTGTCGAGGATGGGCTTGTCACAGCTGGCGCAGTGGAGCATTTTGTCCCAGGGACAACATACACGCAAACACACACTCACACACTCCCCCCACGTCGATCAGTGGCGCTCCGATAAGTTTATTCTGAAGGACAGCGCTCCATCAGCATCCGGCTGCGGGTTTCTTTTTTTGCTCCTCAGGGCAACAATCCACATCCGCTCACCTGCTCCCGACCAAAGCTCCGTCTCTGGAACAAAAGCCAGCATCTCTTAAAGGCTAGGAAGCGCGTCGTGGTGCCGTTCATGTGATCCCAGGTTCGCCATTTCATCCGAAAACATATATAGTTTTATTTATTTAAAAAAAAAAAGATGAATCTGGGTGAGATATCCTTCCTGTGTTGTCTCCAGCACGGCTTGTTCTGCAAAGATGCTGCTGATGCAGATGATGCTGAWGATGATGATGAGGAGGAGGAGCGCAGCAGGAGAAGGGAAGCTGTAATGAGCTCACCTTGTGCAGCTCAGCCTATTGCCTAATAACAAGCACGTGACGTCACGGCCACGAAAACCCAATGAGAAGTCTTCTGTCATCTCCCTCCACCGCGTGCACTCCAGCGTCAAAAAAAAAAAAAAAAAAAAAAAAAAGTTAGAGCTGCGTGGGGTTTCAAAATAAAAGTCACGGCCTCATTTCGGGGAAACAAAAATCAGGCAATCAAATTATGAGGAAGAGCTCAGACCCTCTGAATCCTCCTCGTGGTGAGTCCAGAAAAGACTTGAGGGGCGGTGGGGGGTGCAGGGGGGGCGTCCGGCTCGGTGGCAGGTGACAAACGAGCAGGAGAGGGAAGGACGGACAGAGAGCTGCACGCTTCTCACCCAGATTAATGTGGTGGCGCGTGCAGCATTATTCTTCATCCCGTTTGGAAGCGACGAGGATCACTGATGGTTCTGATCTCTGCTGTCCTCCCACAGATCCTATCGTGCTGGTCCACATGGGGGGACGCAGATAGGACAGGTCCCCACTCAGGGACCGGCTCTGCTGGGCTCTGATAGCTGGAAGGTCCTGGCTGCAGGCAGGGATTCAGGACCGCACAATAAATAGTGTTCACGAGGAGGGGAAAAAAAAGTAAACAAAGAAATAAAGAAATAAATTGTTCACTGTTTTTTACAATAAGTATTTTTTTTCAAAGTCTGTCCTAATAATAGATTTTTAAAAAATATATTTTT